TGGCCATGCCCACTGATGCCTCTCTGTGACATATAATTTTTACTATTCAAAAAGTGAACTCCTATTCACTATTTTAGGAAGCCTAAAAGGCCATTAACTTGGTCTAAACAAGGCTCCAAAGAGCATGGCATCCATGAAAGAGAAAAATAAAAGAATGAAAGGACAGTTGAAGTACTGAGGAAGAAATCACTAAGAAATTGTTTAAAAAATAATATGAAGTGATATGAAAAAATAGCAAAGTTTCAAAACATATAATAGAAAACTAAAATGCATAAATATGTCACAATATATACTTATATACTGATATGAGGCCCCTAGAACCATAAGAAATTAAAAAAATTCACTGTTAACTCATTCTTAAATTTCTCCCTTAAAAAATCTAATTGCCTTCTTGTGGTGCTTGTGCCCCATGTTGCGAACTACTGGTCTAAAGGAAGCTGGAGAACCATATCATTTAATGTGAAATATCCCAGTTAAAAAAAAAATTAAATACTCTGTGTGCTAACGCTCATTAGCTAGCAGTTTGTGACCTGAGGCCTATATGATCATTAAGGCCCTTTCCCACACTTGCTCTTTAAATGGTTTTAAATAAAGAATAATAATAAAAAATTGTCTAACATTTCCACAGCTATTTTCAGTTTATGAAATATGTTTCCTCTATATTGTTTTGGGATACAGCATCTATACATATAAAAGCCCAGCAACTGAACGGCGGAATGACCAGAATGACTGGTCTACTGACTAGTCACTATGATGTAAACTGACCATCAGGGGGCAGATACTCAACACAGGAGCTGACCACTGGTGGTCAGTGAGCTCCCACAGTGGGTGTGCCATTTGGCTGACCAGGCGCAGGGTGAGGCCGAGTGTCTGCACCTATCAAATACCTGAGACAATTCAGATTCTGGCCTGACCCCACCAGCTGATGCAGGCCCTCTGAGGTGTATTCTAGAAAAAGAGTGTGGGGAGCTGGCACAGGCCGATGGCAAGGGGGGACATGACTGTGGACCCCCTAGGAAGGCTGTCTTGAGGGCTGAGGATCCTGGAGCACAGCTGCCCTGAACATCCCCAATGGTGCCATTGACTAGGCATCACACATCAAGGACATTCACTGAGTGGCTTTGGGGTGCAAAGCTCTCTGCCAGGTTCCTCCTGAACATAGAACACCCCTTTACCCAAAACATTACCCTGAAATATCAGCTCAGACTAATTTCCTCACTCAGCAGCTGCTCAGAGTGAGGGTCCACAGCCACTTGGCTGAGCGGGATGAGCAGTGCTCCGACAGAGGGCTGGTCCCTGCAGGCCACATCCCCCACCAGTGCACAAATCCATGCACTGGGCCTCTAGTTATATTATAAAAGGATATTCACCTGCTATATATCCAAATCAGTTGTGTTTTCTCCATCCCATTCTGTGACTGCCAGCTCAGGCAACCCCAAGGTTTTAAGGAAATGAAGTATAGGTCCAACCCCACAAAAGGCTGAGAACCTGGTCCTAATCTTTTTGGTTCAACTTGCTTTGTAAAAATCCACCCCACCTTTGATGAAGAGCTAATTACATAAACTATTACTGTTCACTTAACAAAACTTGCTAAAGACAATCACAAAGAACCTATTAACAATGGACCAATTTCATTAATTATAAACTTTAATCCTAAATAAAAGATTAGTCCTGGCTGAGTAGATCAGTTGGCTGGAGCATCATTCCAATACGCTGAAGTTGAGGGTTTGATCTCCAATCACAGCACATACAAGAATCAATCAATGAATGCATAAACAAGTGGAACAACATACTGATGTTTCTCTTTCTCTCTCTTTCTCTCTCATAAAAAAAAAAATAAAGAGGTTGACAAATTGAACCTAAGAATGTATTCAAAGAATAACGAATATACAATGAAACAAAGTTTATTTCAAGAATAAAAGGATAGATTCAACATTAGGAAATCTACTTGTATGTATTTCATTATGTTAATAAGTCAATAAGAAATGAATATAGTAATAGAATTTATGAGTAAGTTGATTTATCTTTCTTCAAAACTTTTCTGAGGTTTTGGCCAATGCAATTGGAAGATAGAAAACTACATTCTTCTTAGATGATATTGTTACTGGAAAGGGGATGGTCATGAGCAGGTCTGCCTAGGGCTGGCTGGTAAGGTGTGGGGCAGGATTACACTGGCCTTGATGTAGGAAAGATTTTACAACACAAATCCAAGTAATTTTGAGGGTATGTTTATTAAAGCTGGGGACCGTGAGACAAGGAAGGGCTTAGCATAGAAGAAGCAACAGGAGAAACCTAGGTGGGGCTGCTTTGGCCTCTGGAAATGTAATAGGAAAGAAATCTGCCAAGATAGGGCTGCTTTGACTCACTGGGAAATTAAAGAAAAGGGGACATTGGGGACAGGTCCAGGGGGTTAGCCCAGGATGAGCTGCTGCTGTCTATTGCTGGTTGCAAGTCTCATTGGGTCCCTTAGAGTTTAGGAGACACACACCTGTGGAGCATGAAGAAGGGAAGGGTGAGGGCATGATCCTCACCCTTCACATGCTGGGAGCTTTGTTTTGAGGTTTTTCAATGCTGAGTGTTTAGGGGAAGGTCTTAGAGGAGGATCTCAATAGAATATTCATCAGTTTTATGCTGATGTGCTAAAATGAGATTTATTCCCTTAACTTCATCTGTCCTTGGGTATGAATGGCACAAATGGTATTGCTCTATCTCCCTAAGTAGGGCGATTTAAACTATTTAACCTCTGGTTAAGGAGAAGAAGTGTAAACCATTTGTTCTTTTAAAAATATTTTTATTGATTTTTTTTTTATGAGAGAGAGGAAGGGAGAGATAAACATCTATGAGAGAGAGAAACATTGAGCAACTGCCTCCTGCATGCCTCCTGCCAAGGATTGAGCCCACAACCTGGGCATGTGGCCTGAACAGAAATCGAACTGGCAACCTTTAGGTGCATGGGATGACACTGAACCAACTGAGTCATACCAGTTAGGGCTAAACCATTTATTCTTAAGTGTCCTTGATTTAGGGAAGATAGGACTTACTAGATGGCTATAAACTGTTTGGACATTTAACTATGTCTCAGTTTTCCTATTCCACTTGCCAAGGGATTTTTCTAGCTTCTTACTATCCTGCCTCAATATGATCATTGACATAAAAATTCAGAGACATCAGCTGACAAAGCTACTAAGACTAATAAAACATTTGCACAGGTGGTAGAATACAACATTACACAAAACAATTTTCCTCGTTCATAATAACAACAAAGACTATAAAATATCTAGAAACAAAATTCACAAGAATTGTGCAAATCTACGTGAATTGTTGTGTGTAAAGATATAAAAACCTATATTCATGAGATGTGTTTCTGAATAAGAAGACTCATGATTTTGAAAATTTTAAAATAAAGAGAAGGAATATATTACAAAGTTATAATAAGTATGGTATAGCATAGAAACTAGCACATAGCTAATAGAATAGATGAGAATGCTAAAAAAGACATACCCACAAATTAATTTTTGATTAATGGTGGCTCTTTAAAGTAGTGGAGAAAGAATAGATTAATCAATAAGTGATATTGGGGCAACTGGCTAACCATTTGGCAAAAAGTAAAGTGAAAGCAAAGTGAAAATCCCTACCTCAATCCATTTAGAAGTATAAATTAGAGATTGCAAATTTACATACCATTTTTGAGTGTAGTTTGGCAATATGTATCAAAATTTGAAATTTCCATAATTTCTTATTGAACAATTCCATTTCTTAGAATTAAAGGAGGTACATGGATAAATGTACAGAAATGTCAATACAAGAATGTTTATTGCTGCATTGTTTGAAATAGTGAAAAACTGAAAACTATTTAAATGTCTGTAGCATATACAAACTATGGAATGCCATGAGTCTTTAAAATGATGATTTTAAAATGATGAAATAGATTTATATGTATTGTAATAAAGAAAATCCACATCGTATTAAGTTAAAATAATACCATGTTTTAAATCTGTAGGTATTCTTTGATCGTTGTGTTTTTGTTTTGTTTTTTTAATGTGAGAAGGTATAGAAAAGACCAGGTTCAATAACAAATTGTTTCTTTTTCATTTCCAATAGGTAGAGTCTACTTTTTAACTAGAAAATGCTTCCCCTCTCTTAGCTCTTTCACCCAGGTAACTTCAACGGTACATCCTTAAACTTCTTGTGGGGAGGGGAGCAGACACCTATCCTGAGTAAGTATGCTCTCATGGAACCCTACACTTGCCATGCTACCCTATAAACCATACTGCACCTTCTTATTGATCTAAATTACTTTTTTTTTTTTTTTTTCCCCTCTTTAGATTCTAATCTAAGCCTCATGAGGTCAATCTTGTCCACTCGAGAGCCTAGCACAGTATCTGGCCAACAACCTTCACTTGACAACCTTGCTGTATGTCATATAGCATGCTAGGCACTTTAAATGACATCACTACACCCTTAGGTAGATACTATTATCATCTCTATTCTGAAGATGAGAAACTGAGTCCGGTAGTGAAGCCTGTCTCAAATGCCATTGCTTGCATTGGGATCAGTTCCCAGGCCTGTGTGGCTCTTGGCCACCACGCTCAGTACACGGCGACCAATAACTATTGGAGAAAATACAACCAACCGTAGCCCGAGGATCTTTTGATGGGGATGTTGCCATGGTGATTTAGCACTACTAGGAGCCCTTTTAACTTCATTACAATCCATACACTCGCCAGCTCCTCGCATTACTATCAGCCTGCCGAGCTCGGAAGGGAGCGGTAGGGGCGGGGCGGCTTCCGGGGGCGGGGCGGGGTCAGCGCTCCGGGCGGAAGTCGGGAGGTTCGGTGCTCCGAAGACGCTGGCTTGTGACACAGAGGTGGGAGAAGGAAGGCCTGCTGGAAGGTTGCCTCTCCATCCCTTCGGTCCCGAGAACCCTTGGGAAAAAAACAACACCCGGTCCGCGGCAAGCCCCTTCCCCCAGGTTCTCTCCGCTCGATTTCGCCACCGTTATGTGGGAAGCGAATCCGGTGAGTAGCCAGGCGGGACGGGGCGGACCCAATGGGCGGGGCTGGTGGGAGAGGGGCGGGAGGGGGTTTCCGGGAACCGCTCCCCCTCACCTGCTTCAGGCTGGATCTTGAGTTCCGGCACTACCTTTGAGAGGTGGAAATGGCCTGCTGGGTTTTCCAACGTGGTATTGCTTTCCCATTAGTTGCTTATTTTACTTGTTGTGGTTTCTCCGCTCTCCTCCCTTCATCCTTTTAAACTCTGTTTTGCTTTCTAGTTGGAGTTATGGGGCTTCGGACCTGTTACTCTTCCCTTTGCTTTAGGTGTACTTGCCAGTCCCACTTCCCTAAAGCTAGAGGATTCGACCCTCGGGTCTTGAATGGGCCTGGAAGGAACTGTCACTACTTCCCTTTTGGGGGAACAGTTATTTAAAACTTGGGGGACCGAGGTTATGTTCTAAGCCTCTCGATTGTGAAGTTCTTAGATATTTCTTTTTCAGTGGACAGAAGTGATGACCTGGAATGTTTCAGCTGCAAGTTTTGTCTCCCACGTTTGATTCTGTTATATACATTATGCCTGCATGTATTTTTGTCTGTTTTGCTTTTATACATTTGTTTAATGTGCAGCCCTCAAAGAGTGCAATCTCTTTGCCAAGAATATTCCATTAATCTCTTGTTAGAGTTGAAATTACTTCGTAACGTGGCAAATGTACACTGTTGATGCCTTATGAGTTGACTGGGGGAAATGGCAGAATCACATTTCAACAAATTGTTGGACTAAATATGTGAAACTACTCCATATGAAGAGATATCCGCCTAAATTTACTTTATAACCCTGTGTTCATACTCTCAAAAACTTTTTTATGTAATTAATATTTTCCTTTCATTTCCAGAATATATTTCCAGATAAATTGGAGAGTTTATATCAGTTAATTCAGTTATATTTTTTAAAAATATGTTTTTATTGATTTTAGAGAGCGGAAGGGAGAGGGGTAGAGAGATAGACACATAGATAAGGGAGAAACGTAGATCGCAGCCTCCTGGATTGAGCCCACAACACAGGCATGTGCCCTAACTGGATATGGAATTAGTGACCTCTAGGCTCATGGTTGGATGCTCAACCACTGAGCCACATCAGCCAGGCTAATTTATTATTTTTTTTAAAGTTTTTATCCAACCAAAACTAGTCTGTTAGTATGCATTTTTTGGTTCTATCCCAGTTCATCATGTAGCAGTGGTCATTTGAGATTTATTTATTTATTTTTTTTTGTTCATATTTATAACCCTCTATACTAGGCTACATCAGAGAAAGTAGTTGCTGGTATTTGGTTTTAGCGAAAATAATTTAGAAATATGAGAATTTGCTCTCTATATGTTCAGTTTCCTGTCATCAACAATCTTCATTTTGTATCTTGTGTGTGTGTGTGTTCAGTTTGTATTGGCAGTCTTTCTTGTCTTGATTTCTCTGTAACAAACCTTTTAGTCACCCAAATACATAACTTGCTTAAAGTCACATCTTTTAAATCCTTCACTATATCCTAAGCTCTCTGTGGGCAGGGAGTTCTGTTTTGTTTGCTGTGGTATCCTCAGTCTAAAATGGAGCCTGGCACACTTAGTAGGCACTCAATAAATATTTGTTGAATTAATAAAGGTGTTTTTGCTAGAAAGAGTCCTTTGCTTTCACTATTTTCCCTCCTCCATCAGCATTTGCTGTTGGGTCATTTGTATGTTTGTGAGGATTATAAAGGCATTAATAAGTGTCTCATTTATGTGGTTGGTTATATCATTATCTCGATTCTTTGTAAGAAATGCTGTTTTCTTTGTAATAACCCTAACAATTTTGCTTGATTTCAGTAGAGTAGACTGACTTTAGTCAAAAGTACTGATCTTCTGCATAGTACCCCTTATATACTACTATAATATGCCTTAATGCTACCAGATTTGCTTACTTACTGATGTTGTTTTCCTTCCTCTAACCGTATGAATGCTGACAACAAAGACAGTTTAGTTTTTAAAAATACAGTCAACATTCTGCATATGGATTTCTCTAGTAATTCATTAATTTCTTTTATTAAGAAGAGGCATCTGGATAGTCCAGCTGTGCTTATCGAATGAAATTAATGTTACTGTAAGCCAAACAATTGGGAAGGTTTTTAAAAACCCAATGATTTTAAAGGTAAATGCAAATAACTTTTGCATTACTTGTCAATTTAAATCACTGTTTACTATTTTTTTCCATTGGATGAGAGAATAAATTCTTCTATATGAAGAAAGGGAATTGACTTAATTGCCTAGTTTCTCGTCTTTTTGTTAGTAACCATGACTTTACTATTCCACCTCTGATCAGCAAATTCACCTTCTGTGTGATACTGTGAGGAAATATACCCCAGGTAATGGGTAGTTTTACTGTAGACATCTTTGCCTCAGGCACTTTGGTTACAAGCATTTCACAGCAAACATTTTCACCACACAGCTAATGGGTTGAAAGGCAGTTTCACCATAAAATATAAAATAGTTGACAGCTCAGTTTCCTTTCCTCATTGATGAGTCATCCACCTTCAGTAGACAAATATTTAAGCTGGTTGTCAGTTTGGTTTCGTTTCTACATTACCATACTTTTTGCAGCACTCCCATTTTTATATTATATAGCTCTTAGCCAGATTGCATACTATACTCCAGTGACAAACTTCTCACAACTCTTCTATTTTTATATTATAGAAATCTTAGCCAAGTTGCACACTATACTAGAAAATGATAACGTATCAGTTATTGCATATTTTTCTGTGAGCACTGTCATCCCTCCCACCTATGAAAACCAAGTTTACCAAGCTATGGCAAAAATAAGAGAGATGGCTACTAATTCATACCAGTCTTTAAGAACATTATTAAGCCAAAACCGATTTGGCCCAGTGGATAGAGCATCAGCCTGTGGTCCCGGGTTCGATTCCAGTCAAGGCATGTACCTTGGTTGCGAGCACATTCCCAGTAGGGGTGTACAAGAGGCAGCTGGTTGATGATTCTCTCTCATCGATGTTTCTAACTATCCCTCTCTATTCCTCTCTGTAAAAAAATCAATAAAATATATATATTTTTAAAAAAAGAACATTATTAATTCCGCAGTTGGAAATTGATACCTCTCTTAATGAAGGAAGAAATTTTAGTGATAGAAGAAGTGCAATGCTGAATAAGGAAACAAATCAACAAGCAAGCAAAGTGCACTATGAATAAAATACTTAAAAGACAATGTATTTTCAGTTTTACAAAATGAAAATTTTATTTAAGAACATAATTTTATTTTTTATGGAAGTCATGAGGTCAGTGATGATTCTACCGAAGCCCGCCCCTGACCAGGCACCTTGAGGTAGACAGAGGTCCCTGCTAAGGCAGAGCAGGTTGACAGAAGCGGCAGGCACACTCAGTTCTGATACGAGCTCTTGGCAGTTCTCTGTCCACCTGGTGAAGGTAGCCCTTGACTAATGTCCTCATTTAGGGAAGTGGCAACATCTCTAGAAAGGAGTTGGAAGGGTTTATCCTGCCTTTCTCTGTCTCCTTGTCATTCGTCTCACCCTCTCTGCTGGGATGGAGATAATATGCAGTATCATATATGGGGGAGTTTTAGCTTCTCTCTTTCACACTGATGAGTGGGAATGAAAAACAACAAACATCTGTTCAAGATGACAAACCATCTATTACAATAATATGACCTTACTTTATACAAAGTAATAAGCTCTTGTAAAATCCCTTTGCATTTCTTAACTCGTACTGTTAGGATAATGTGACAGGTTAGCTAAGGGAGGGGAGATGGCTTTGCCAAGAACACTCAGGTGAGTAAGCAGCAGAACTGTCAGTCCCCATGTCCTCTTTCACCCCATTCCATTGCTTGGTGGTAGCCGTGGGGACGGTTGTGTGCCTGAGCCATGCTTTACCTGCTGAGCCACCATTTTCTCCGTTCTTTCATACTCAGAGCTGCTTCCACACTCCCTTGCACTATGATTCTATCTCCTTTTTTGTCAAACTTTTTGAAAGAATAGTCATATTTTTTATCATTCTTACTCATATCTCAGCTCCTCCAGCCCTACTTCTGCTCCTAATCCTGATTTGCTAGGAGGTCACAAAGTGCTTTTGAATCACTACATACAGTGGCAATATTTACGTCTTCAACCTCTTCTTTTTTCTGTAACATTAATGCCATTAGAGGTGTTTCTCATAATCCCTTCCTCCCCCCACCCCCCACCCCCGACCCCGAGACTATATTCCTTTGGCTTTCTTCTTTCTATGATTTATCATGGAATTATAATTTTGTCTTAGCCGTACTGCCTTCTTTTATCCCTGAAACGTTCTCCCTTAACCTTTTGTTGTTGTTCCTCTCAGCACATTGTTTTGTTGAGCTCCATGGCTCCAACTCTCACATTGATGAATACATCTGCCGAATGTGCACCTATAGCCATGACCCCTCCATCTGGGAGGTGGACAGTTCTGGTGGCCCCCCTGACAGTTCAGAATTAGTATGTGTAAAGCAGACTCACTTAGTCAATGATTTATTATTTCACTCAGTCAACAAATATTTAGTAATGTATCTGGTACACGCAAAACACCATTCTAAATACTGGGAGGGAGGTTACAAACCTGGGTCAAATCAGAGCCTGCCTCTCAGGGATCTTGTAATATACTTTAGCGGGGAAAGTGATACCAGAGGGTATCTGGCGGCAGCGAGGAGAGAGGGCAGTGGGACTAGGGAGGTTTACATTTGAGCTAGGTGTTCAAGTTATAAAAGTAGGTATATGGGAAGGTCGAAGGAAGCAAAATGATTAAAGCCCATGGAAGTGAAAGAGAATGGTAAGTACAGTTTGGACAAAATGAAGGGAAGTGGAGAAGATGTAAAGGCTCTAATGAGTAAAGGCTCTAATGAGTAAAGGCTCAGTATTGGCATCTTTAGAAAATGAGGATGGAGGGGTTGTGGGCAGTGGTAATGAACATCTATGTATAATAGTATCTTCTGAGTCAGCTGGTGTGTTTTATAGACA